GTTGAGTTCTTGATTTGATTCTCCACTTGGTCGCTGTTGGTGTATAGAAGAACTACTGATTTGTGTACATTAATCTTGTATTTGGAAACTTTGCTGAATTCTTGTATCAGTTCTAGGAGCTTACTGGAGGAGTCTTTAGGGTTTTCAAGGTAAATGATCATATCATCAGCAAACAGTGACAATTTGACTTCCTCTTTACTGATTTGGATGCCCTTTATTTCTTTCTCTTGTGATCGCTCTGGCTAGGACTTATGTTGAAGAGGAGTGGTAAAAGTGGGCATCCTTATCTTGTTCCTGTTCTCAGAGGGACTGCTTTCAGCTTTTCCCCATTCAGTATTATGCTGGCTGTGGGTTTATCATAGATGGCTTTCATTACATTAAGGAATGTCCCTTGTATGCCAATTTTGCTGAGAGTTTTAATCATAAAGGGATGCTGGATTTTGTCGAATGCTTTTTCTGCATCTATTGAGATGATCATGTGATTTTTGTTTTTAATTCTGTCTATGTGGTATATCACATTTATTGACTTACATATGTTAAGGCATCCCTGCATTCCTGGTGTGAAACCCACTTGATCATGGTGGATTATCTTTTTGATATGTTGTTGGATTCGGTTAACTGGTATTTTGTTAAGGATTTTAACATCTGTGTTCATCAAGGATATCAGTCTGTAGTTTTCTTTTTTGGTTATGTCTGTCCCTGGTTTTGGTATTAGAGTGATGCTGGCTTCATAGAATGAATTAGGGAGGGTTTCTTCTTTCTTTATCTTGTGGAATCGTGTCAAAAGGATTGGTACCAATTCTTTGAATGTCTGGTAGAATTCTGCTGTGAATGCATCTGGTCCTGGACTTTTTTTTAATTGGTAATTTAAAAATTACCATTTCAATCTCACTGCTTGTTACTGGTCTGTTCAGGGTATCTAATTCTCATGCTTTACTGACTGGGCTAGCTGGGTGCCTCAGGGTATCTAATTTTTCCTGATTTAAGCTAGGAGAGTTATATTTTTCTAGGAATTTACCAGTCTCTTTGTGTTTTTCTACTTTGTGTGCATAAATGTAGTAGTCTTGAATAATCTTTTCTATTTCAGTGGTGTCACTTGCAATATCTCCTGTTTCCTAGTGAGGTTATTTGGATTTTCTTTTTTTTTTTTTCTTGGTTAATCTTGCTAATGGTCTATCAATTTTATCTATCTTTTCAAAGAACCAGCTTTTTGTTTCATTTGTCTTTTGTATTTTGTAGTTGTTTCCATTTCATTTAGTTCTGCTCTGATCTTGGTTATTTTCTTTCTTCTGCTGTGTTTGGGTTTGGTTTATTCTTGTTTCTCTAGTTCCTTGAGGTGTGACCTTAGAATGTCAGTTTGTGCTCTTTCAGTCTTTTTGATGTAGGCGTTTAGGGCTATGAACTTTCCTCTTAGCATCACCTTTGCTGTATCCCAGAGATTTTGATAGGTTGTGTCATTATTGTTATTCAGTTTGAATAATTTTTTAATTTTCATCTTGATTTCATTTTTGACCCAGTGCTCATTTAGGAGCAGGTTATTTAATTTTCATCTATTTGCACGGTTTTGAAGGTCCCTTTTGGAGTTGATTTCCAGTTTTATTCCACTGTAGTCTGAGAGAGCGTTTGATATAATTCCAGTTTTCTTAAATGTATTGAGGCTCATTTTATGGCCTATCGTATGGTCTGTCTTGGAGAAAGTTCCATGTGCTGTTGCATAAAATGTTTATTCTGCAGTTGTTGCACGAAATGTTCTGTATATATCTGTTAAGTCCATTTGTTCCAAGGTATAGTTTAAATCTGTTGTTTCTTTGTTGACTTTCTGTCTTGATGACTTGTCTAGTGCTATCACTGGAGTATTGAAGTCCTCTACTATTATTGTGTTGCTGTCTATCTCATTTCTTTGGCATTAGTAATTGTTTTATAAATTTGTGAGCTCCAGTGTTAGGTACATATATGTTTAGGATTGTGATATTTTCCTGTTGGACAAGGCCTTTTACCATTATATAATATCCTTCTTTGTCTCTTTTAACTGCTGTTGCTTTAAGGTTTATTTTGTCTGATATAAGAATAGCTACCCCTGCTAGTTTTGGGTATCCATTTGCATGAAATGCCTTTTTCCACCCCTTTAAGTATGAGTCCTTATGTGTTAGATGAGTCTCCTGAAGGCAGCAGATAGTTCGTTGGTGAGTTCTTATCTATTTTGTGGTTCTGCGTCTTTTAAGTGGAGCATTTAGGCCGTTTACATTCATTGTTAGTAGTGAAATGTGAGGTACCCTTGCATTCATTGTACTCTTTGTTGCCTGAGTACTTTGGTTTCTTTTGTTTTTGCTTTTTCACTTGTATTTTTGTTTTATAGGTCCTATGTGATTTATGCTTTAAAGAGGTTCTACTTTGATGTGTTTCCAGGATTTATTTCAAGATTTAGAGCTCTTTTTAGCAGTTCTTGTGGTGGTGGGTTGGTAATGGCAAATTCTCTCAGTATTTGTTTGTCTGAAAAAGGCTGTAATTTCCTTCATATATGATACCTACATATATGATGCCTAGTTTCACTGGATACAAAATTCTTGGCTGATAATTGTTTTGTTTGAGGAGGCAGAAGATAGGGCCCCAGTCCCTTCTGCATTGTAGGGTTTCTGCTGATAAATCTGCTGTTGATCTGATAGGGTTTTCTTTATAGGTTACCTGGTGCTTTTGTCTCACAGCTCTTAAAATTCTTTCCTCCATCTTAGCTTTGGGTAATCTGATGGCAATGTGCCTAGGTGATGATCCTTTTGTGATGAATTTCCCAGAGCTTGAGCTTCTTGTAGTTGGATGTCTAGGTCTCTAGCAAGACTGGGGAAATTTTCCTTGATTATTCCCCCAAATATGTTTTCCAAGCTTCTTCCTCGGGAACACCGATTATTCTTCAGTTTGGTTGTTTAACATAATCCCGGACTTCTTGAAGGCTTTGTTCATATTTTCTTATTCTTTTTCTGTTTGTCTTTGTTGGATTGGGTTAATTCTAAGATCTTCTTTTTGAGCTCGGAATTTCTTTCTTCTACTTACTCAATTCTATTGCTGAGACTTTCCAGAGCATTTCACATTTCTAAAAGTGTGTCTGAGGTTTCCTGATGTTTTGACTGTTTTTTCTTTATGCCATCTATTTCCTTGAATATTTCTCCCTTCACTTCTTATATTTTTCTTTTGGATTTGCTTGCATTTGGCTTTGCCTTTCTCTGGTGCCTTCCTGATTAGTTTAATAACTAACTTCCTGAATTCTTTTTCAGGTAAATCAGGGATTTCTTCTTGGTCAGGATCCATTTCTGGTGAACTAGTGTGATTTTTTGGGGGTATTAATGAGCCTTGTTTAGTCACATTAACGGGATTGTTTTTCTGGTTCCTTCTCATTTGGGTAGGCTCCGTCAGAGGGAAGGTCTAGGGCTGAAGGCTGTTGTTCACATTCTTTTGTCCCACTGGGTGTTCCCTTGATGTAGTACTCTCTCCCCTTTTTCCTCTGGATGTGGCTTCCTTCCTATGAGCAGAACTGCTGTGATTGTTGTCTCTCCTGGGTTCAAGCTACCCAGTGAGTCTACCTGGCCCTGGGCTGGTACTGGGGGTTGTCTGCACAGAGTCTTGTGATGTGAACTGTCTATGGGTCTCTTAGCTGTGAATACCAGCACCTGTTCTGGTGGAGGTGGTGGGGCAGGGGAGTACAATGGAGTCTGTGAGGGTTCTTAGCTTTGGTGGTTAATGCTCTATTTTTGTGCCGGTTGGCCTCCTGCTGGGAGGTGGCGCTTTCCAGAGAACATCAACTGTAGTAGTATGGAGAGGAACTGGCGGTGGGTGGGGCCCTAGACCTCCCAAGAGTGTATGCCCTTTGCCTTCAGCTATCAGGGTAGGTAGGGAAGGACCATCAGGCAGGGGCAGGGCTAGGCATGTGTGAGCTCAGACACTCCTTGGTTGGGTCTTGCTGTAGCTGCTGCTGTCGGGGATGGGGGTGAAATTCCCAATACCCCCTCTTCTTATAAAGAAACCAGTCACATTGCTTTAGAGCCCACCCTAATGACCCTATTTTAACTAAATTACCTTTAAAAGTCCTATCTCTAAATATAGTCACCTTTTGAGGTACCAGGGTTAGGGCTTCAGCATAAGAATTTGGGGGAAGTAGGAGGCACACTTCAGTCCATAATTCTATATATCATTTATGACAAATTGTAAATGACAAAGTGAATGTTGAAGTAAATGTTTATGAATTATCAATGGTTATTATAAACTTTTATAACATTCTAAAGAACTCCAGCTGGGAGAGAATGTAGAGGATTGTAGATGGATTAGCACTAATTTGTTTTTTCCCTGAGAAACTCAAACTCTATGACCTATTGCACGATTGAGTCTATTTGTATATAACAAAGAGTATTTTTCATAAGTATTAATAAAATATCAATGTCAAGTCAAATATTTAAAAGAGTTAAGTGAAGAGGGATTAGAATTAAAGGTGTTAGAATTCAGATTAGTGGGCAAAAGATACAAAAACTTTGCTCACTGACATTCATAACTGCCTGTAGATGGAACAGCAGACCTGAAGATTGGCTAGTTCTTTGTGACTGAAGTTCTGATTTTTTTGTGCTGTTATAGAGTAAATTTATGTATTGTTGAGTGTGGTTCTGGAAGGTGATGATTTTTCAACTTGAAGATTCTCTATACTGTGTGGGTTTTTTGGCTTTAAAAAAGTTAAGAACTTCCCTTTATATAATGAAAACACAACAAGTAAATATTATTTGTTAGTACTTTAAGATGTAGATTTATCATTTAAAAAGTCTTTATGTTAAATATTCTGAGGACCATACTGTTATTTCTTTTCCTTCTCCCTCTAGTGGGCAGAAAATATTCTTAAAATATAGCATGGAATAATTTATTGCTATTGGCTGTATCATAATATACAGTCTCAGTCTCAGCTTTTTTGGAAACTAAAAATGTTAACTTTTCAGAATGATTAAAGCAAACGCTTTACTTCTTTCTAGGCATAATAGTGGATCCTTGAATGTTGAAGATGTCCTTACCAGCTTTGACAATACAGGAAATGTTTGTAAGTTATACATTCACTCTATAAAAATATATTTAGTGTTTTACAAAGTGAATTTATAGTTGATGTTTTCTTCTCACTAGTATTTTTTTTTTTTTTTTTTTTTTTTTTGAGACAGAGTCTCGCTCTGTCGCCCGGGTTGGAGTGCAGTGGCCAGATCTCAGCTCACTGCAAGCTCCGCCTCCCGGGTTTACGCCATTCTCCTGCCTCAGCCTCCCGAGTAGCTGGGACCACAGGCGTCTGCCACCTCGCCCGGCTAGTTTTTTGTATTTTTTAGTAGAGACGGGGTTTCACCATGTTAGCCAGGATGGTCTCGATCTTCTGACCTCGTGATCCGCCCGTCTCGGCCTCCCAAAGTGCTGAATATTTTTTATACTCACTAAATGTATGCATATATATGAAATAGAAAGTTTTACCGTCTTCAGCTGCAAAATAAGCCTTTTATAAGGTACACCGACAAAATGGGATACTGCAGTTTTTACACTTTGCAGATGTGTGTGTCTGTGTGTGTGTGAGAGAGAGAGAGAGAGAGAGAGAATGTAGGTCAGAAAGGACACTGGACACTGAAGTACTGCCCCTTTTATTTTTGTTTACATTTTGACCTCAGTTAATTTAATAGTGGGGCTGTTTCTTCTTTCTTTGCTTTGTTTTGGGTGCTTTCTTTGCCATTTCTTGCTTCTTTACTTTCACTGTAGAATAAACCCAGAACATATTTTTCTTGATGCTACTATACATTAATACCAGAGTGCTTTTGTTTGACGCAGTATTACAATATTACAGAATATATTGCCTTTTCATCCAAGCTTCTGATTAAGTGGTGATAGATTTGTCCACTGAGAAAATCACTTAAATATTTCTTATCATTCTTGTAATTAATTTCATGTGATGAAAGAAATCAGCCAAGAATACCTTTATGTCACTGAGTTAAACAGAATACCATCATAAGAGCTATGGACTTTTTATGTTTTTTGTATAGGACATTTCTCTTAAGATAGTGAATTGTCAATGAAATATGACCATTTTAAATGTGAAAATAGTACTTATACTCTTTTTCTCAAAGAAAATTTCAGAAAAGTTAACTATTGTCTGAATTTAGGTAGTGTCTTTGGCTTAACAATGCAGCTTTATCAAATGAATAGATTTGCGTAGAATTATGTTCAGTAATACTCAAATGTACTTTTGTTCTTATGTCCACATTATAAGCTTTTGATTTTATAGAAAAATACTTGTGATTCACTAAGGAATCTATAAATGTCCTTAAATTATCCTAAATACCTAAAATAATATAGGTTTCTTTTTCATGGATAGTGACAGATGTGCCTTTTTAAAAATTTTCTTTCTTTTTTTAATTTTCCAAACACCAACTTGAACCAGAATGCCTTTTAGTTTCTCCATGTTGGCATTTAGTGAATTCTTTCCCACTTAGGCATATCTCATATTTTTATTAGGTCTAGGCAAGGACTGGGCAAAGCATACCAATGATGGTTGAGGATACATACTCTTTTAGTTCTGGGGTAATGTTAAATATCATTAAGTCAGCCTTACACATATGTAATTTCAGAAAATGATTCTAGAATGTTAAATGTGGAATTTCTGATTCAGTAATGTAAAAGTCAAGTATTGTTCCCAGTTGACTCAGTATGAAATAGGGCCCCTAGCTGGCAGCATTATGTAAAATAAAAATAATTTCCTAAAGGCATCGATTATTATTTTAGGCATGAATAACTGTCTTATCCTTCTCTAACATTTTTTCCCGTCAACTTGTTCCATACCCCGTGTTGTTGTTGCATGAACAAACAGAAAGGTTGCATATTAAGGGTGTTTTTTTTATTGTTGTCTGTTGTTTGGTAGAAAGGTTTAAGACTTTGGAATGATACCCACCTGCATTTGACTTTTGGCTCTGAAATTCATCTTAAGCAATTTGTGTCATCTCTATGAACCTCAACTGTTTTCATCTTTTAGGACTAGCTATATTATAAAGAAAGTACATAACATACCTCATGGCTCGGAGTTGATATTCAATAAATGGAAGCTATTAATTATTAGTGGCGATGAGTACCTATATAACCTCTTTTGTTTTTTTTCTAATAAAGAAGATAATATTATTAGGGTTATTCTGTTTTATACTATTTTAATTGAACTAACAAGGCAGAAAAATTAGATAAAATTAGCAAAATAGCTGTTTATTAAAATGCCTCATTATAAATATTGTCTTAAAAACCTGAATATATTGTTAAGTGATAGAAGTGGTGACAAAAATAAGACCTATTAAAATATGTTGGTTTGTGTACTTTTTATGTTTACTCTTTTTATTTTAATGGAAAAATCTATATGTTTCATTTAATGATAAATTGGTTAAGTCCTGTTCCAATAAAGTAAATATTGATTATGACTTTTATATTATCTTGGGCGTAAAGTAACCATGGACTGAAAAAGTGATTTTTCACTTGATGCCTCAAAAATTTGATTTTCTTATGCCAATAGTGATATTGGGTTTGTGACTAGAAAGCCCAGCAGAGGGCGCCACAATCATAATTCTTTGTCATAGCCCAATATAATTAGGATAAATATCTCAAATAATAACCCTAAGCTTTTACCATGTCGACATATGAAGATGTGTCTAAATATTTCTATTTGATTTATTTCTAATCTAATCTATTCAGTAATTCAAAAATACAAAAAATAGATTTTTCCTGGCTGATTTTTTAGTTTAATTTTTTAAAATAACAGTTTAATTTTTCTACTTCTAGCTTTAAATAAAGAAGTACTTTTGATAGAGAGCTAAAGTTCCATACAAGAGTATCAGTTTGGAAATCACCACCATGGTAGTACATTAAAGGACAATTAGAATGAGGAAAAAAGTTTCTAATAGATGAGAGAACCAATAGATGGAATTATCTGTTTATTTTAGGAATTTGTTTCTAGGTTAATAATGCTTCCTAGTAATAGAAAAAACAGCTTAATTAAAACATTTTCTAGTCACAAAAACCTGATATGTGTAGATAAAGTAAAAACGATATGGTCATGGTTTAGTGGAACCATTAATTTCAATTTTAAATTCATTTTGAAAATCAGGGAATGGTTGTATTCATTGTAAATTTTGAAAGATGAAAATATCAGTCTTACCTTCTGAATTGGTTTATGCTCTAAGTGAAAAGACATAGAAAAATCTCTTTAATTTTGGAAAATAAATGAAACCTCTAGATAGCTTATTTCCTATTAGAAAAGATAGTTTTTTTGTACTTACCTTTTTGTTTAGAAGTTTTGTGATTGTAAATGTATGAATTGCAAAGTGTTTTATATTTTTGAGGTAACTTTTCCTTGCTTGAATTTCTTTGAATGTTGTGGGAAGAAATTAAGAGGAATCTTGTACAGAATGAATCACTTCTGCGTATTGATTTATTGCTGTGTGATATACGACCCCAACCTTCTTTTTATGTATTTATATTTACTATGGTGGAAAACAAACCATTTTGAAAGTGCTTACCTTTAACTAGGAATAGGTATGTATATTTCATTCTTTGGTTTCTACTACTTGAGAACCTACTTTCTTTTGAGATATCAAAGCTTCTTGGTCAGGAGGTTGTATCTACTATTGATTCATTGTGCCTGGAAAGACATGCTGGCAGGCTACCTAGGGAAAAGTATAGGATGACATCTTTCACCTCAGATTAGGTACTGGCTGCTTCTGTGTTTCCTTTGATATGTCTCTCGGATACCTTGGATAATAAGGGAGTGCTCTATAAGCATTGTAGCAAATTTCTTGCTTCTGCTTTTTCTGTGGGCACGGGCTCCTTTCTAGCTAGTCCTCTGACCTCTGGTCAAAGAAGCTGCACCATACTGTCTCTTCCAAAATCATTTTCCTTTTCTCCAAAGTCATTTCTTTCCACTACTGAAAGGAATTTTTATAAATGTAATTCTCCACAGTGCTTACTTGATCCAAATTTGGATATCATAGTATCTAATATAACTATTTGTTGTTTATAACATCTCATCTTATGCTTGGGTCTGTAATAGATTCATTTGAACATTTTTAGCACATCCTTCATTTAGTAGTATGAACAGAAGTGTTAGTACTTCATATAATTTATTATAAACTATGTACAATATAATGTATATAATCCTGTAAGGGATAGGAATTCAGTAGTTACATCATTTCAATAATTATCATGGTGAAACAGGATTCCTGGCAAATGTTGCAGCTTAAGTCTGGGGGATGTATTGGTAAAATTTCTCTACTATTCTTTGAAAAAATTTTTTTTTCCTGGTTGAGCTCCATGGCAGGACCCTGTAGTAGTTGGTGTCGCTTTATCTCCTGGAGGAATTTGTAGACCCTCTGCCATATATACTCCACATGTGACAATGATGATTTTTTTTTCCCCCAGTGAATTCTAAGACTGACTGGAATTTTTTTTTTTTTTTTTGAAATGGAATTTCGCTCTTGTCCCCCAGGCTGGAGTGCAATGGTGCATTCGCGGCTTACTGCAACCTCTGCCTCCTAGGTTCAAGTGATTCTCCTGCCTCAGCCTCCCAAGTAGCTGGGATTACAGGCGCCTGCCACCATGTCCAGCTAATTTTTGTATTTTTCGTAGAGACAGAGTTTCACCATGTTGGCCAGGCTGGCCTCCAACTCCTGACCTCAGGTGATTTACCCACCACAGCCTCCCAAACTGCTGGGATTACAGGCATGAGCCACTGTGCCTGGCCTGACCAGGGTTTTTAATGCACACAGCTATAGACTTTGCTTCCTAGTCGTCTGATAGCAGGATCTGTTTGTCTGTTTGTGATGTATCTAAAACTGATCTCTTTTGGGGTAGTATCAGTTATTATTGAAAGAGAGACTCATTAAAATAAAAGCCAGGTGTGGTGGTATGTTCGGGTAGTCCCAGCTGCTCAGAAGGCTAAGGCTGGATGATTGCTTGAGCCCAAGAATTTGAGGCAAGTCTGGGCAATATAGCAAGACTTTTTCTGTAAAAAAAGAAAATCAAATATTTATCTTTCTG